AAAGACAAGAAGGGGTGTACGAGACACCCAAAGAGAACCTCACCAAGACAAGAAGGGGTGTACAAGACACCCAAAGAGAACCTCACAAAGACAAGAAGGGGTGCACGAGACACCCAAAGATAAGCTCACAAGGGCAATTTTTCACCTGTAGTACATTTGGAAAAGTTATCATGTGCTCAACAAATCGTACATGTGCCAGTATTTGATATACATGTGTATGTACGCAACAGTAGGAAAGGCTTGGCAGTGTTCGTTTTTGGATTTGTGATCTAATCGGGAATATTTGATGCCACGGCAAGTGTACTACATACATGTACATTTGTACATATATGTACAAAGTTTTGAGTAACCTGCTTACATTTGTGTTTGCATGGTTCCACATGTAAACAAAGGAGTTTCACCGACTGCACTGTGCTAGATGTCAACTCTTCATTTGAAAAGTGACCTCAATGAGTCTCAAACCAAACATCGGTTCCAATGCCACAGAGAAAAGTCAGTGATACAGGTTTGGTTCGTGGTTTGATGTTACAGCAAAAGCAGATTGAATTTCATGAAATCAACCTTTGTTTTTGCCGTGTTGTTACATGTAGCTGCCGTCCTGACAGATATGTTCTGCACTCAAATTTGAGGAAATCTGCTTGTGTGCCAGGACAGTTGATGTCAATCGCATAAGGCTATAGCGATGCTGTTACATAGATTTGTATGCAAGGAATTTGTTCAATAGAACATCTGTCTGACAAGTGCCATCAGGGAACTGAGATGGTTTTAGAAATGTTTGTGGCATACTGAGCAGGAGTAGCCAGAGTCTTGTATCCTCTGCCATATCAATACATGTGTACAGTCATGGTTATTCATTAGGGGGAATACACGTACTGAAAGGTATGGTTTTAATTAGGATAGAGAATTCCTGGAATGTCGCGGCAATGCCTGAAATTCAGATGGACATTACGGAGACTGAAATCTTACTGTTCCTTGCATGTTAATCGTGTTTGATTTTAAGCACTTGTTTTTGAAGCATTCCTGGTAGAAGTGTAATTCCAGAAAACTTGATTGCAATACCCTCTGGCAAGCACGATAGTCCCGAAAAACCCCTCGTTTCCGACGTGCTCAGAAATTCTGTATTTTTGAACTTGTTGTAATCCTATCAAAATCGTTCTACAATCTTCAGGGCATTGATGGAAACTTGTGCAGTTTGGTTTAAGAATCAGACCTTTCACTTTCTTGGTGAAATTGACCAGTGTTCATGTTTCGGACAAACCTTCTGTTGATATTGGATGGACAGGTGTACACCTTGGATGTATTTCATTTTATGTGTCTGAAGCCAAGAAATCAGGTCATCTTTTTAATACACCACTCAGATTGAAAATAAAACGAGTTTTAAGCAAAAGATTTACTCATCAACTTTTTAATTATGGGAGTTTTTATTTGTTTCAATCAAGAAAGAACTTCAGCTGGATGGTAAATATGGCAGTTTTGGGAAGCGTATGTCTGAAACTAAAATATGGTATTTTGGTATTTCTAACACATTTTTGAAATTTTATTTCAGAATTACAACTCACTTGGCTTGTTTGCAGTAGTTGCCCCAAAATGCCAGAGTTTTCTCTTCTTTCAAGATCGTTGCAATCTTAAGTCAGTAAGAAAATTAGTGTAAAAAAACACCCACCCACCCCAATAAAAAGCCCAAGGCTGCTGCGCTTTGAGAGGTAATTGAAAAAGCCATTGGATTTATCAGTCCACCAATCAAATGAGTCCTGGAGCCCTTGGTAATGCCTGTTGACTTATCTTCCAATTATTATCCTTTCTGCAGTGATGGCAGTAGGGCGCCCTCAAGGCACAGCGGTGTACAAGGTATCGGAGTATGCCCGTCACTTCGGCGTACCAGTGATTGCTGATGGTGGCATTACATCAGTGGGTCACATAACGAAGGCCTTGGCACTGGGGGCATCAACAGGTGAGTGTTGCTAGGGAGCAAGACTGGTTTTGTTGATATGCCAGAGGACATGTCAACACAATCAGGCAGTCTGCATTGGCAGGGACGGCCAATGGATGAAACTTCCACGCTTGCCCTGAGTCAGTGCCAGTGGGCATGAGTACACGCAAAGCCCCATTTGTTTTGCACACATACACAAAGTCTGAGAAGTCTGCAGCAGTGCTTTAGCCAGGATATGAAAACTGCGAGTGCAATCTTGTGGGTGAAGCACGCAATATTAGTGCGCGGCGCAAAGTCCCTTACAGCCGGGATCCAGGGCCTACGTAAGGGCCCTGGAAGCTCTGGCTATTTTAGATTCTCTCTGGTGGTCTCTGATGAATTTCTGACATTTTTTCATTAGATTTTTGCCTTTTCGAACAAAAACCAGCTTTTAGAAAAAAATTAAATTGTAAAACCTGTGTGCAATTGTTGCTTTATATAGTGTGATTAAACAGCCCTACAACAAAGAAGCGAACACCTTTGAACAGATCTCTCATTACCACTTTCTTTTGTTTTTGCAAAAATGGTATGCAGGTTATAATGCAGGTCAGTACTTGTCTCAAGTTTCTGTGCCTTTTTGTTTGCAACACATTACATTCAGATTATTACGTGATAAGCAAACAAAAATATAAAGTGAATCCCAGTATTCCTACATGCATGTTTCCTTCGGCAGTTTGGCTCAGAACAAGCAAATTGAGTTCAAGACTTGACTTCAATATGGATGAAAAAATACATGTCGTACATGCATACATGTAGTTCGTGTACATGCACACTGAACACGCACCTACGTACACCACAGGCAGGCCACATGCCCGCGCTCACTTGTGCATGAGTCTGAACATAGCATCGGAAGAGATCAACAGTTTTTTTCCATCGTTAAGGTAGAAGAGCTTTATGCTGATTATTGGCAATAACAAAGATTATGTGTAGGTCAACCCTCAGCTTTGAAAAGAATCTGTTATTTTTCATTTCATTCTGGATGATAGAGTGAGCTAGCAGCGCAAGCCCCGAAATGATTATATGTCAACCTTGTCCCCATGGACTACCTCATGTGATAGTGGGCGCAATATGGTGGCTAACGATCCCCATGGAACGAGGTTGATTACATGTATGATCAATCGCCGGTGAACAAGTATGGCTCCCTGTGTTCATTTTGTTATGAGTTGATAGATATGGTGCTGTAGTTCATTAGTTATAAGTAAGGGAACCTGCCTGCCGGCGTTGATACATGTAAATGTCAAAACCGTATCGTGCAGTTCCAGCATACATTTACTGCAGCGTATTTTCTATTTTGGATTGGTTGAGGGGGGGATGCATGAGGAAAAGACTGAATTTTAGCTCAGATTTTAATTTCACATTCTTCGGGATTTAGATCACACAAGTATTGAACTAAGTAGTGTACGGCTTGATTTGCCCCGCCAGGCCGGGCTTGAAAAAATGGGCCGTGATTTCACAAAACTGGCCGTGCAAAACATGGCTGAACGGTTCACTAGCAAAAACGCTGGTCTGCAGACACACCATATGCTGAAATCGGCAGATGCAACTTTGTGTATATATGCTGAACCTGTAGCAAATATCACGCAATCGTGTCAATGGTGGGGCCCAGAAAGTGTTGCAAAATATGAGATTGGGGTAACAAATAGCTAGAATTACTCTCGATTAGACTGAAAGTGCTTATTTCAAGATTTCAGAAAGGTAAACATTTACCACTCGCACAATGTGACATGAAAATAATGCACCTGCAACATTTTTATGCATCCGCGACTATCATGAATAACACAAGCCAAAACAGCCTTTGTTGGATAGAGTCACAGGTGCACGGTTTCCTCTTGAAATAAGGAGTTGCAAAGGAATATTGGCTGTTAGTGTCAGTTTTTCAAGTTGGCTTGAATCTTATGTTCACTTTTCCTTGGTTCCCCCCCCTCTTCTTTGCAGTAATGATGGGCAGTCTACTAGCGGGCACCAGCGAAGCGCCCGGGGAGTATTTTTTCTCTGACGGAGTGAGGCTGAAGAAGTACCGAGGAATGGGTTCCCTGGACGCCATGGAGTCTAACAAATCCAGCGCACAGAGATACTTCAGGTTAGTTAGACTCAGCCTCAGGGACTGTGAACAGAATTTGACTCTTAAATTAAAGAGTGATGCGTGCTTGATGCAAAAGCAAAAAGTTTGTGGAACAGGGAAAAAAATGATCTGTCCTTCTCACTCACCCTACAGCGAGCGAGACAAGCTGAAGGTAGCCCAGGGTGTTTCTGGCAACATCGTGGACAAGGGCTCCATTCACAAGTTTGTCCCGTACCTCATAGCCGGGGTCCAGCACGGCTGCCAGGACATTGGTGCTAGGAGTCTGACACAACTCAGGTTGGTTTGGCAAGGATTCACCTGCTCGCATCCTAAATATTTATGTTACATCGTAAAAAGACACTTTTGAAGCCCCTTAGGGAGACATTTTGAATGTTTCTCTAATACCAAATTAATTTGTATTTTTCATTTAGTGGTTTATTGGGGTTAGGGTTACTGTTCAAGATAAGTCTGCATCCAAGCCTATGCAATGTCTCCCTGAAGGGCAATTCCTGGGAATTGTTACCATCATTATTTGTTCCCAACTGGGAGATCATGTTAGGAGCCCTCAAACACTACACCCTTGCAGATTTTCCTGCTATCAGTTTTCCCCTTTGACGTTGTGCATAAATCAGCCCTTAGCAGTGAAATGTGAAACATGTATGCTATGGAAGAGCTTTCAAGTGCCATTGCCACCATTCGTGCTCACCCAGGGCAGTTATGTCATATTGTGACATATTTGTGCTCATTCTGTTAAAAATTGAAGTAAAATGGTTCACGGAAAGTATAGCACAGTGTGTGCACACAGTGAGCCTTTTGTGAGCATGCCATCAGTGCCATGGTGCTGTCTGTGTAGTTTCCATGTACAGCTTGTGGTAAGCGCACATACATGTACATGAAGACCATGAGATGTTCATGTATACTGCTACAGAAAGTGTTGCCTAAGACTGGCCAAAGATCGCATAGCGCTGCGAAGCGGCGCAAGATGGCGAACTTTACGTTGAATACACGTAAAACGATGTAATTGCATAGGTGCCATTTGAGCAAGCGATACGCCTGCGCAATGCACATGAATGCAAAGGCGCAGGCGCCGCAGCAGGCACGTGCACCCAGTGAGCTTGCGCCCAAGCATTACCATAAACTGCGCAGGTCGTATTGCTTGCTCTAATGGCACTCACAGTAATTACATCTTTTGGGTAGAGTTATTCATCTTGCGCCTTCGGCGCTGTACGATCTTTAATACTGGCCTACAACTTGGACTTGTACAAAAAAAAAGAGGAAATTCCAAACTTTACAAGACTTTGTACAGTGTTTTTCAATTTTCAGTGGTGTGAGTGTTAAGTGAAAAACAAGGAAATCAGCTGATCGGAGAAAAAGTTGCATGCCCGTTTATAGAGCTGTAAATTTGCAAGTTTTGCAAAGACATCAAGTCCTGCTGGCCTAGCGTTTAGACAGCACCCCACCCAAATGTATACTGACCTCATTAAACCTTGCAGTGGGCACCGACAGAGGTATAGTTAGGACTGCTTCTGGTACATGATTGGTGCATCAAAAAATTTATGGTGATAGGGTCTTGCCGTTGAAAACGTGCCCAGGCAAGATAGATACGGTCATTATCCATCGCCAACCAGCCCCCACCCCCCGGGCTAGGTGGAGTTGTAGCTGTACTCAAATATGGAATGGACATTTTTTTTGACCAGAGAAAAAATGTATTCGGGGGAGCTGCGGTTCGAAAGAAGAACGACCTCCGCCCAGATCGAAGGGAACGTCCATGGATTGCATTCGTAAGTTGTATCCAAAACTGTAAAATTTCAAAGATTTTGTGGTATCTGCAGTAATGACTTTTGGAGGGGGCACGCAAAGTGGGATAGAAGGTACTTTTTACATCCTGAGTAATCCAGGGAAAATGTGTCCTTAAAAGTCGTGGAAAAATCATGGGAAATGAGGTGTCCTGCAAACCTTTTGTCAGAGGAAAAGTCATGGAAATCAAGATTATTGAAGGGTTAATTTTGACAGGCCGCTTTGGACATGATAATGGATTAATGATGAATTTACAGGCTATCCTTGTTAGTCTATACGTGAGGCTCAGCTAGTCTTCCAGTTCATAATACAAAACAACTTCTCTCTGCAAAATCAGGTTGAAACGTTTGTTATAACCCACTAATAACTGTTGAACATTCAATGAAATTTGGTTTCTAAAGTTTTCATGAAAAAGGGAAAATATGCAAATGAGTGTAGGGTAATTCCAGAAATTAGGGGTTCAAAAGTGTGACATTTTTTGTCCCTGTTACATCCGACTTTTTGTTATTTGGAAATATCACTGGAATTGATTTCAAACTATTACTATTTGTTCGGCAGGGAATTTGCATTAATTCATCTCTTTTTGAAATTACAAAATGTGTTCTGAACTTACAAAATCATAAGTCAGATGTGACAGAGACATGAACTCCTAATTTCTGGAATTAGCCTGTAGTGTGTGTTAACTTGTGCCTTAAGCCAGTCTATCTGCAACCAAATATTCTAGCCACCTGCTCCTTTGGACATTCAAGGCCACAACTTTCTAAAGAGGCTAGACCTGGCTATGTTTCAGTCTCCTGCATATTATTTAAGACAACATGCTTTCAGTCGTTATAGCTTTTCTAATCTACTGGACATAATTTCATGAAAGTGCACACCTGGGCTCCTTGCCATCATTTCTTTTGTGCTTGTTTCCTAACCGTTCAGATTGCCAATTTCTCATTTAGCCATTGCATTATTTGACTCCCCATGATTGATTTTTTTTTTCTGTACCAAAGTGGGATTCTTGGCTCTTTCCAAGAAAGGAATTTGAACTGAGCTTCCTAGATGGAAGTAATGCTTAGATGTTGTAATGCCTTTTGCGCTGCTTGAGGCATATTATGAACCAGGGATACACATGCGTTCATGTTGACACTGCCTGAATTTTGGGCAGGGATGTTAAATGGGGAAAACTTGCTGTCATTTACAAAATTTCATTTTAAATAATTCCAATGGTTACCTCTTATCGGCCGAAGTTTTCACTTGAAGTCATACAATGGCATAACAATGTACTTACTTGTCAGAGAAATGGTTCAGGGTTTCTTTGCACCCCTTGGGAAAATAGCTCCTTTTGCACTGCCGTGGGTGGTGGTTTCCTCCAGGGTTGTAAAAAAATGCTATGGATTACACCTCGGTGGCTGCACCAAAGGTGTGACTAAACGATTTGTCACACCTCTGTCTTGAATACTGTTTTTCCATTGGCCCAGAAGGATATGTGACAGGGCAACATAACCACAAGTCCCACTTGCCAATAGACATGACATCAGCCAGTGTTGTGTGATATGACACGCAGGCATGCAGTCACCCCGCGGTGTAAAGGATAATGCAGGGACTGCTGATCACTAATGTGCAAAGATTCGGTTGTTGTTTCAATTTCCCTCGGAAAAACAAGTAAAAACATCAAGGCATAGATATATTACAAAACAATTACTGACTGCAATGATGTGGGATATGACAATTGGAAAACCCAAACAATGCATAGCACCCCAGGCGAAGGGTGCGATGCGTCCCTTCAGTTTTGAAAACAGCATATCCCACATCACAGCAGTCAGCGTCAACAATTGTACAGTGAACCCTTTCTGTGAAGAATGCGCACACAAATTGTAGTTGCACAGAGACAGTGTAGTTGCATTGCGCCAACCGTCTCCACATAGTTCACTTCTTCTTTTTGTCTTGTCATTTTTGTTGCAGATATGAGAAAAGACTTTTCTGAGCTGCAAGCCCCACCCTCCGTGGTCGCTCCTCACTTACCTTTCCACTTTTTCGTTTGGCGCACCAATGATTTCCTTCCTTGTCACGCTGTAGTATTTGCACATTTTAGTGCCCTTTTGTTGTTCACTAGTATCGCGTGCTGTACACCGGTTATGAGTCTGTCATGGACAAAACACTTGAAAATCCTGGAGGTGGTGAGTCTTGATGTGCAAAATGTGGCTGATAACCAGTGAACCGAAGAGACTTGTATTGTGTGAATCAACTGGTGACCAGGGGCCAATTTCACAGTGCCACCAAGCAAAAGTATTGCTTAATAACACATTCATGTGCTGAGCAATAGTAGTCAGCAGATGACTAGTCCAAAAATATACGGAACGCGTAGCATTTTGGTCGGTAACTTGCTCTTGCTAGGCTGCAGCCGACTTGACAAAACTTTAGGCAGTGGTGCAACTCCACTTATGCCACAGTTTCTTCTGTAAGTTACTCAACAAATTGATTGATTGATTTTATGAAACTTATGTTCTGCGTGAGTCTGCGACTTACCGAACAAATTGATGGTGTGACTCACGCAGTCATTTTAGGTGGCGTAAGTTGTGCTGGACGAAGCAAAAATGAACAATTTGTCTAGCTTATCAAATTCAGTGAAGCCTCATCATTGCTGAACTTAAGGTTTGTATGAGAAATGCACAGCTTTGTTGTCGAAGGTAATGAGAAACATTTTCGGTTGTGAGAAAACTGCAAGATATTTTTGTCCAGTTCCGATGAAGAAAAGATGAAAACTTTTTCAAAACGGTGAGCAGAAGTGATTCAACGACTGTTTGACGACTGCTGTTGTACTGGAAAAGAACAGCCATCGTAAAAGGCGTTTTTGTCCTGTCCAAGAAATTTGATATTGTTAAAAGTTGGCACAGCTATGCAACTATTCATGAAATCAAACTTGAGTATATCACGCAGCTATGGCATAGATTTGTGGCACAAGGCTTACACATGGTTCAAAGTTGCGCCATGTTTCGTGAAATTGGCTGCAGAAAATTTCTTGGCTAAGCAGATTTCTGTGTTTGGTGACTCAATGAAGCTCGCCCTAGTGAAAAATGCAATCAATAATTGAGACTTAGCCAAGAAGTTAACCGTTACATAGTTCATGCAAGGCAGAATCCTTGCCAATTGATATTGTTCTGAATGCCGAGTTCCAGTCAAGTTGTCACAGGTCAGTACATAAGTCCTTGACTCGCAAGTCGCGTGGCAGGCTTTGAGACAAACTCTGATGGAGGCGTTGTCTGTTATGGTCCATTCACATTATGTATGACCTGGACTGACCAGCACAAATGTCAGTAAAACTTTGCTGCATGTGGAAACCTCAAGTAAACCAAAATACAGTCAACCACCTTTCTATTGGTCATTGTGACTTAACGGATTACCTCCATATAATGGACCTTGTATTATAACTATTGGAAAACAGAATACAGAAACTTGGGGACCTAACATCTATGTTGCTGTAAACAGGATGTTGTATTGTAGCGTCAGAATACTGCAGATTGTGGCCTCTGACAATGTTTGTTTAAAACGGAATACTTTAACTTGGCTCACGTCTTGATGCAGAAAGGACAATTTTTCCAAAATCTCCAAAACATCAGCAGACACCTCTGTAGGACAAATGCAGATTACCTGTGTTGATGACATTTGAAATGTTATTGGACCACACACAGCCGGTTCCATGTGTGCCGACACTGGCCAATATTAGCAGTGTTCGCCAGAAGTGGACTGCTTCTGATCTGACTCATGAGCAGCATAGACTGGGTTAAACACTCCGCCAGAAAGAAGAATTTAGGGGAAATAAACTCCACACGATTGTTTCAGTATTTGCAGAAATTAGGGCTGTAGTTGAGACATTTGCAAGCCCAGGCAAGACACCAGTCACAAGGAATAGTTTGAACAGTGACAAGGTCTGCTTTTGTTGCAGTTTATGTGAATTGTTGATGACATAAATTCAGAGAAGAAGCCTTGTAATGGTCTCAAGAGATCCTGACTACAACACCAACAGAAAAAACAATCTGGATGAGCTTTCCAAACAGTTTGGCCACACAAGGAAGGGGTCCCATTCACAGTACTATTTCTGTCTTAGTCATTGTTTAAGTTGCTTGAGCTAAACATGTAAACACCCTGTCATCTAAAAGAGAGGTTGTATTTTTCTATCCTAAACTGCTCATCATCAGACCGGAACACTTTCCAGTAACTCTGGGAGTACTGGCCCTGAACACTATCAACAGAGGGCCTGCCATGCCGATGGTTGGCCAAGACTTCACACACCGGAGGGCACATTGCGTGGACTGCCGAAACTAATTACAGTGCCTGGGGCTCTCTGCCGGGATTGGCTATCGCACAAGGCACAGAATGAGTGGTTGATGGGGGTTTATTCATGTGGACTGATTCTGATATATCCTTGCTCTCCTTGGTTTTGTGGGTGGACTTGCCAGAACTTAATGAAGTTTTTTGAAAATGTTTTTATTTCACCTCTGATGTAATGCTTGTTTTCTGTTTTTGACATTTCAAGTGGAAACCTCATTATTTTCCTTCAGTACCTTGTCTGCGCACAATCTTTCAAGGTGTACATTAATGAAGACCAACATGAACATTCGTCAAAAGTATTTACAGTATATGAAGGAAACACGAGGGTTACCTCAGTAGTTTTGTTGAAACTGAAGTATTTTGTATTTTTGAAAAAGTACTATAGTTTGAGTGGGAAACACTGAAATTTCACCATTGGTTGGTCAGACTCTTTGAGGACCTGTATTTACAGTGTACAAGATGCCTTATTCTCAGAATGGGATGCTGGCTTTGTTGAAGGAGCTTCCTAATAAGGATGACTGTTTACTCCAAAGAAATCTAGACTGTATTTCTTTTTTAAATTTGAATTGGGGTGTCAGATTTGTCGACGTTGCAGACTGAATATGAATAGAAGCTTGTAGATTTGAGAAGTGCATTATGTTTTCCATTGAGGAGAAAATCCACCCTTGCTGCATAATTGTCATTTCTTCTGCTTTTCTTGGTATAGTTTTTGTTCCTCATAAGTGTTGCATTGCCCAACTCTTATTGCCCTAAATCTCCCACAGGTAAAGATTTAGGACCGTAAGGATTAATTTGTGATGCAATAGAATAGACCATTTTTTTGTGATATGACCAAGGTCGCAGACTTCTTTGTATCAGATCTTCTCAAGTTATTGTGAAGAACTTACCTTGCTGGTTATTGATTGTGTAACAGCGTAAGAAATGAAATGAGATTAAAATGGCAATGAAAAGACAACTAAATGTCTTTGATCGAAAGAAACAGTTCCGTTAAGTCCAGTGCGGGATATCTTGTTAATAAATTAGTGAGGAGATTGTATTGTCGTCTACAAATGAAGATGATGCAAATTGTATGTTGTTTCAATAGGTTGAGAAGGGTACACGTCAGGTTTTCGCTGATTATCAGTGTGGATGTTTGGGGGCAAAAACGCATGAAAACTCACCTTAATTGTGAGCAGTATTGATAACCGCACAAGGAGGGTCGGTGCAAGTGATTGTTAGCTTGTTTATGAAAAAAATGATATTTTTATTGGAAAACGTTTTGGGCTCTTGTCGAAAAAGTGTTTACTTTTTCTGTTCTGGTGACGTGGCGTTGCCCATCAGTGAGGCATGTTAGTTAGGTTGGAAATAAAAATTGATGCCTCAACAATGTCGGGAAACAGGTTCTTTTTTTTTTTGGCAAGTAATATCTATGAAGAATTTGTTTAATACAGAAGCGCAAGGCCTTGCCGATATTTCGTAAATATTTATTGTTCCTACACAGAATTGCGATTTCCTTTTCCTAAACGCCACTGAGAAAAAAGAATCGTCGACAGAAACAGATGTAAAAAAAATAATTTGATTTCTTAGTTTTTGTGTTGCGTGCAGTAAAGGGTACAAATTGTGTTGTTTAAACTTGGTTGTGGACTGGATTAAATCGTCGTTGACTTGTTATGTTAATCGGTATTATTCTGATCGGCACTGTTAGTACTATTAATGCAATCATTGCGTGGTAACACTCCCATAAAACCAAATTCGTCAAAGGAAAAGTGGCTGGGCTCTAGTTATTTTTGTCGTGTTAAAACAGGAAAAGTTATAAATAAACGGGCATTCTACATTCCCCGACATCGTCGAAGGGAAATACAACGCGCAACTGACAATGTCCAATGCCGAGAAGAAACATCAGACATTCGCTGTACAAACTAATAGGAATGTCCAATGTCTAGAAGAAATATCAGACATTCGCTATACAAACCAATGGGAATGTCCAATGTCAACAGAAAATCAGACATTCGCTGTACAAACCAATGGGAATGTCCAATATCTAACTTTATACTGTCGTACCTCATACGTGTACTCTGAAAACATGTTCATAATATGACTTGTGTTTTCGGTTTTCACGTAATTCACCCGAGTATTGTCCATATTTGCACTTTCCAAGGGTCACATTAATTGGGGGAGGGGAGTACATGTACATGAAATACTAGGATAACGTCATGCAGTCTATATGGCCTTATGTGTGAGGTTAAATTTAGTGGCCTTTTACACGCTGTATAGAAAATGAAATGTAGAAGTCCCGCTAACACCTGTATTTCTGCATTTCAAAAAAGAAGTTCGTGATCGATCATTGGTAGGCCTAATTCCATGAAATGTTGGAAGTGAATTTTGCGTTTGCACACCACCAATATATAATACGGCAACACACCCAAAGGACGATGGATTCAAGTTGTACTACCCTGTCAAAAATGCGGTCACCCCAATTGAAAAGAAATCCACGTCGTTCCGGTTATTTTTTCCTGAGGCAGAGGAAATCCGACAGTTCCAGCATCCGCCCCAGATGTGGCCAACTTAAGACCTCCACCTGAAAAAAAATATGTAATATTTTGAGCCTCCAGTTTCAACACTACATTTGACTTCTCAAAAGCCATACAAACTTTTAGCTGGTTGTTTTGAATATTGAAATATCGACGTGGAAAGATTCGTTTCATGCCGCAAGTGGGATTGTAAGAGAAACGGTATTTGAAGTAGAGGCGCACCATTGTAGTCTTAAGGTTGGGTCCTAAAGACAGATTTTTGGTTCATGGAGTATTTATTATTTATTTGATTATCACATTAACTAAACGTTATTTACACTTTATAGTATTTGTCGTGGAACGAACAAAAGCCAACTGGCAGGCTTCACTATATTACAACATGTGTAATTGATCTGATTGGTTGAAAATGTTGTAAATTGGTATCAAGCGTACGAAGGCCCAGAACAGACATGTCTCTCCAAATTTGAATGCCCCTCCTGGTAGTTCAGTTCAGTCAGGGCAAATAAAAGGCACATTTTGGTGAATCTGTAAACTGTATCGTGTCAGCCACCTCTCTGGAACTGCAACTCACCGCGCGCATGATGTTGGACATCCAATAACACGGGCTCCTTAAAGGTAGAGTATAAATGACGCTTAAAATGAGTAGTTACGGTACTTAGCACCCCCCCCATCGGGTAATGTGAGGGCCGGGGCCCACACACGTCGCTCCGTGCACCATGTAAAGCAAGCCTGGTTTCCACATCGACGTGAGAAATGCAGAGAGCAACGCCATCAAGACGCAGACTGCAACGCAGACAAATGGGAACATGTCAAACCGAAGTGTCGCCACAAACGAAAACCAGCCCCAGACGGATCGGAAAAGTTGAGCCCGGTTCAGCTCTGCCGACTGTCTGCGGTGTCAAGTGGGCCGATACAAACACGCATGTTGGCATGACGGGCGTACAACGATGTTTCTCTCGCTTAGTACCTCTCAATTTTGTCAGTTTTTTCCCTATTGCTAGCATATGCAGCCTCAATCGTTAACAAAATAGCTGACCATTAACAAATTACATCAAACTAGAGTATCAGTTTGGCTTCAAGAGGCAACATTGCCACCTAAAGAAAGGCATTTTGAGCGAAATTTTCCGAGTTTCGGGCGCCCTTTTGTTTAATTTTTTGGGTGGAATGACGTCGCACCGCGTCTCTTCCGCGACTGTCTGCGTCTTGACGTCTTGCGAACCGTCTGCGTTACAAAAGACCATGAGGAAACCAGGCTTTACACGTAAGGCGCGTAGAAAATTAAGGAAAGTTTCTCAAAATGTGTAAATAAAACCCAGGCGTCTGCCATATCTCTCAGCCAGTGGTGTAAGGGGGGGGGCATCCACCAGCAGACGTTGTTCATCCGGATGCCCCCCCCCCAAATTTTGAAATGTATGCAACCCATACATAAACCATATTGCTTCTACCAGTTTAACAGTGCACCTGGTTGCGCCCTCTGAAAAGTCGCCCTAGTTAACTTACTGCTCTCAGAAAAACTTTTAGGAGACGGACGGGGCGCCAGTCCTCAACTACCCCTTTTTGGGTGGAACCACACTGCATGACACCCCCCATCACTACCTCAAAATGTGGGGAGTGCTCACCGCATCGTGAACAATCTGGCGCTGGAGGAAAAATATGCCATCAAATCGGGCTTCTTGTCTGAAAAGGTAGCTTTTCAGTGAGAATAAAAGTTCCCTCCGCAGATGTTAGATACATCAATTCCCTGGAGATTGCTAATTTCCTATGAGGTTCAAAACGCTAGTAATTATCGAGGCTTTTGCTCGCATAATAACACTGCGGCGTTACACACGCTTGATATTTTAATCCTGCGCGGATTGAACCCGCCATTTATAATCGCACAGTGTTTGTCTTTAATTGGTGGAAATGTTTCGCTGACGTCAAAAAATACCCGGTTGTGCTTGTCAAACCAGCGGAAGAGATACCCCCGCGTGTGGGATCCGTGAATACAGGAGGGAAGGTCATAGCGTGCGGTCCCTCCGACATGCGTGCAGCTCGCATGTGAGAAAACATTCCGCGAACGCATTTCGTGTGTATATGCTTCGCGTGGGTTGGCTGTGGCTGTTTCCTACGGCCGAATTAGGAGACAACGGAGGCCTCGCGACTCAAAACACATAGGCCTACAGACCAACATAGTCATCATTCAAAAACCAAAGAAGTGCATGTCGTCATGTATTATTCACGGAGCTTTTGAGCGGTGAGGCGCTCTGGTTTTGAGTTTCCTTGTCACATACTAGAGGCACTCCTGCTCAGGAAAGGTTGTTGATCACAAACCTGTTCGGATACGTGAAATCAAGAGCGCTTACGAGGGAAGGTCCAAGTCGACTAGCTTAATTCGTTGGCCTTGGAGTTCGGAACCGTGACATAGTTACTAACAACACAAGGATGCCGACGGACAAGGAGGTAGAAAGTGAAGACAGGCAGGTAAGCAGGCGTCAGTTTCAGGTTTGAAATTCCAGCCATTTTAATTCCCCCATTTACGCTGCAGGGGAAAAAAGAAAATCTATGACGGTGTAACATCGTGTAATCGGCATTTTTACTTTTAGTGCGGTGGTCTTTGAAATTTGGAAGATGACTTCGTATGTCAAACTGTCATTCATGAAGAGTTGGGGGATATGATGAAGGATCATGGAGACAAGGCCTCGTATGTACTGCGCCATTTGAAATAAATCTCTCGTTGACTTCTGCACAAGTCATCAATGCACGTATCTCCCGAAGAACGTAGCTCTGTATATCCTATAGAAAGACTTCATTGATTTTTAATTTTATCGCGAAAAAAGGTGTATGACACACTTATCAAATTGAGTCATGTCCCTAAATTTTAATCGAGTCGCGTGACATTTCATTATTCATCACTTTCATTTCAGCGTTTTGAAAAGAAAGAAAACACTTCCACTTTCTTATTTTGACAGAAAGACATCCTGCCACCCTCGCTTGGGGTGTAAATGACTGTAGCCCTATGGTCCTATATTCCACTTCCACGATCTGATGAAATTGATGTACCAAAAATGTCATTTGCAGATAAAACTATGAAACTTTCCCATGTGTTGATTTTTGGCGACCAAGTGAATAAAGCACATGCATAGGCCCTATGTGCATCTAAAGGGGTTTGTAAATTAGGTTTAATTTAGGACGGACTATAAAAGATGTCGGCTTGTAGAGTCTAGCACGGGCCTACCCTCACATCAGTGTTCATGTAGCCCAAGCTTGATGGCAGCTTGTGGTGGATATCTTTCAACAGGGTAAGTTTCACAATAAGCACTCACCGATGACAAGTTCCTGGATTGAAACTCAATGGCATGATGGCATGATGTAGTGTCACAACCAAAGTCCCAGAAAAATGAAACTGTGAGCTTCAAGCACCGTACCTGTGTCGGTATGTTTATGTTCAGATTAGATAGCAGTATATACATATATGTATGCAGCAACTAGTTTCGCATACTCAGCTGTAACAGTTGTAGTGCAGAAAAGGGACATCCCGGTTTGTATAATGTTACATGAGGTGTCAAAACATATACAATAAACGAATCGTGAGCAAAAATATACAATCAAAATCGAGACTTCAAAATCAAGCACCATCGCACATGCGCCGTGCAGAATGTTGTCATCACTATTGGCCGTTTATTTATCTTTAAATAAAGAATGAGACAAATTCAAACGATGAAAGGCATGTAATAAAATTGTCTAAATGGTGAACAGACCGTTTACATTTCGAAATATTTTAGCTGTCTGGAGTTTGAATAATGTGTCTTCTGTGGACCAGTACCGGTAATAAAAACCGAGAAACTAAGAAAGTTAAGTAATTATCAGAGACGAGTTGACTCGGGCGACATGGCTTCGATCGAATTAAAATGTCTGGAGGGTTCAGAAATCCTTTCGTCCTTACATTTTTCATGTTGTAACAAAGCTTAGACAACCTCATCCAGGCTCCATAGGCATTTTAAGACACGTTTTTATATCGCGTGAGCTCTATGTCTCAGCAGTGTAAATCACTGTGGAATAAGTAGACGGTGAATCAGACAAGCTAACGATAGTGACTTGACCTAGACATCTAGCACGCCTGAAGTTTTTTTTGCAAGGTGGGTCATTGATATACATAAGCAGCACGAAAAAAGAAGGCTCATTCTCCTCGTGTTTTTGAGAAAATTGCAAAATGTTCTAGTACTGGTCACTGCAGCAGTGGACACAGTATTCCTTATCACTTCCACGCAAGAGCATGCCGGCTGTATTTCTATGTGGCGGAGATGAGTTTTGTTTCTGATCATTAAAACCACCCAACTTCCATCGGGGAGGAATTTTGGCATGATTACTTTCTCATGCCGTAATCACATAATACGCAAGGTGAATTATGTCAACAGAAAGGCAGCCTGGTTTTTATTATGCATCAAGCCAATGGATTTTCACGTTCATTAACCTGATCAGCCTCCTCAGAGATAGGAAGTGATCAATTATTCGTACGTAAGAACGTGTAGAGGAATAACCGGTGTCCTCAAACTTCCTTCAATCTCCGGATAACCCTAGGCCGTTCCGGCAAATGTACACCCACTGATCCCATAGGCCCGAACGCACCAGTGCGTCAGACTGGGCCAAGACCCTAATTGAATTATGCACACAAATTTTATCTACCTGGGTGTTTGTACGTTTAGTATTGAGAATCTGTTTCAGTTGAGCGACAGTTGGTATGGATTTTTTCGAAGGGAGATTAAGGGGGCAGAAAGACACGATCAGATTTTGGATGGCCGAATGCGATGCAAATTGCAATTCTTCGAGGTTTTCCTCTTGCTAGCGGAGCCTGACCTGCCGGACGGTGGTTGGTAACCCCCAGTGGCGTAACTAGGTTTTGAGTCCGGGACTGATAAAATGGTGGTCATTGTTTTATAACTCGTAAAGAATCCTCACCCTCGTGAAGCATGGGTTCTTAAGTAGCCTTTTATCTTGTTCAATCCCTCATAAAAGGGCCTCTTTTCTCTCTGCCCACTCACTATATCCGCCGGACACGCCCATTGGATGATATGATTTCATTTTTAATCATCCGTTGAATTTTGATATAAGGCGCCTTTTTATATGCACCTTTTCTAGTGTTTTGAGCATATACACGATGGGGTTCACTTTCCCGGACACCCACCCACACGTGTGCGTTACGTTTGGCAGTCAAAATCGCCTCGAGAGCGATTTTGGCGGATATAGGCAATGCTTGGCGCAAGTATTGACGCGCATATGGAAGGCGCCTTTAAAGTGAATCAACAACGTTACTTTCCGTTCACTGTTCGTGTACTTACACATTTTTCAACACTTCCTTCTGACTGCAGAATTTTGGTTTATGATAGCTATGGTTTTGGTTAGCAAAAAGGTTTCCCCTCCCAGAAGTGGGGAAATCCGGTGCGTAGCGGATGCGAGTCACGGGAGAGTTCTTTGTTTCAGTGATAGTTGGAGATGGGACTGGGGATGGAGATGGAAGAGGGCGCTGGGAAGGGCTAATGGCCTTGTGCAGATTTTAGTGAAGGAAATACCTCACAGGGGCGTCACAGTTAACGACGCGCAAAGCATTGTGGGTTATTTCTGCCAAGCGCGCGAGCTCGCTCAGTGCGTTAGACAACCGGCGGTTATCAATTCGATATTTTTTTCTGTCTCTTCCTCATTGCAAAAAACATTCTCACTACACTTTATTGGTTCATCCAAAATTGATCAAGATAACCAATGATTTGAAATATATCGCCAAAAGACACGTGATCAGTGAAACCGAGAAGATAAATTACCACATTGTGATGGTACCAAGGTCATGTTTTTATGATATACCGGCTTTTGCCAGTGCCAAAGCATTACCATTGGCGAACGAAAAAAAATTAAATAACGCTTCACGAACAGGAAGTGTTAACCTCGCGGTTACAGCCTTCGTGCACAATTTAGCCAATCACAGTGCAAAGCCAGCAGCACTTCCCGGTGCCCTGTTCGGGCGCAGGGCGACGAGCGAACCTGATGTCGTGCCCGACGAATTTTGAACAGCGCCCCCATCGCGAACAGGAAAATTGGCATAGACCAATTGACTTCAGCGCAGCCATGCATTTCGAACTCCAAATGGACTTTTCACGAACAAATTCCTTATTATGAATGCAAGGCATAGCCTAAATGGTCATGGTGGCAAACAGCGTGAGCGACCCATTGAAATGTAACAGTGAATCTGGTCTGCGGCATTTGGCTTATCAGGCCGGTGGTTTATCTGTTAATCCCCTGCATGGTATGAAACAACTGGCTATTCCCCAAACCTGCTGTATGGGTGAGATACCAGTCCATTGCAGGTTTCTCCCTAGCTGATATCGGTACCCATTTATCTTCCTGGATAGGAGCATGGAGCTATTAAACACACATAGCTCCATGATAGGAGAGGGGCAAACTGGGGTTGAGTGGCTTGTCAAAGGCCACAACTTATGGCCAGTAGGTGGATTCGAACCCCTAACCGTCTGGTGAGAAGTCACAAACCTTATATACCACTTGACCACCTGAAATACAGGGTACAGACTTCGTGGTCATTTCCTTCAGATTCTCCAAGTTTCAGTCTTTTCCACTAACTCAGGAAACCAGGCCTGTTTGTTTCACACGGATCTGGATCGCGGTCAGTGATCCCAGAGCTGGTTCGCTCTATCCATTATACGACAGTTGAGGTGTACGACTGATCCCCATCCAGATCCGCGTGAAACACACACGCCCAATACGTTTCCCTACGGCACAATATGGTTAAGTTTTGCTGTAGCAATAATAACAATAATAATAACTTACTTAATAATATTACTGTTTGGTAATTCCGTACTTATAAGGAACATTACTTTCTATTCGGCTTAACACGTCACATTCAGAGAGTAGAAACCAGTCGGAGCGAGGAACGGGTTAAAGCCGGGATTTGGGAACAAATTAGCCCTCGATTGAGCTCACGTGAGAATGGTTCATGGTGATGGTGCCCAAAAACGCTAAATTTGTTATCACTGAAGCTCAGGACAAGAGAGCTCTGCTAATTTCTGTCGACCCTGTGCGCTTGGAACGAAAGAAATTTCGTCTTTTTTTTCCCTTTCATATTTGGACATATTATGATAAAGTCAGGCATGCACGTTAATCTGTTGGACCACACGCCTGTTGATCAATAGTTATTTTATACAAAGACAAATGGTGTGCGACTCACCAAATTCCCAAAATCTAGCCCGTCCAACTTTCCTAACAGCGGTAATTGCCTCCTCACGCTACTACTTTGCGTTCGTGAAGGAAAAACTTGGGAGGAGTTTTTCAGTTTTCTCTCGTTGTTGTGTGAACGCTATTAAAGCTGGATTTTTTTCGATAGAACAACTGTCCTTAAATTTTGCGTGGGATAACCCTTACCTCTAAGTGACTCAAAAACTTTTACCAGACAGGATATTAAAGTCGTCATTATGTGAATTTTTATGTGCATTAGGAGAAACTGTTTTTCTCTTGGGTCCAGACTAGGTACGTAAAATGAATTAAAATAAACGTTGAACACAACCTTCCATACCTAGCGGGGAATGTCTGCACAAGGTATTAAAGGGAAGGGTGTGTGGACACGTACGAGTTTACACAATTAACGTCTTCTAACGTTAGAAAGAAGGACTTCTTTTGTGCGGAGGTCCACGCTATGGCATATGCCACACTTTTACTTGTGCACTTATACACTGCCACCTCAACACACTCAGAAACGGCCTGCGTCCGCCACACATAAAGAATGCTGCAATTTTCAAGTTCATCTTTTAAACTCGGCAGGCCTTAGCAAGCCATTTTTGGTCAAATCAAAATATTGAAGTGTGCATCCTGTCAGCTGATTAGGTTGGTTTTTGATCTTGTTCACAACATGGTCTTCGGTTTCATGTTGTGGCGTTGTGGGCGGATGAGGCGGCCGTCACGCCCTCAACCCAGACTCGGTCGGGCGCGCCCCACTTTGGACTATTCTTCTTGACATTTTCTAGCTGTCTAGTAATTGGCCTCTAGCTGGGCCTCATAATGCATGTATTACAAAAGGGTCACTGACTAGTATGCAGAAAGCGACGCGCGTCGAGAATAAAATACTACGGTGGCTTGGCGTGTGTGATTGCGCTCATCAAGACCGATGCTGTTGGGAAAACGTCCGAGTCATTTTCCCGTGTAGTTTGAACATGCTTACCATGGTTTTAAATGTTTATGTAGTTTATGCAGCTGGTGGATGTCAATTTGTAGAAATCAAATGAGATGATTTTCTTCTTTAAAGTATGCCTTTTAAGGCTTCTTCGGGCCCCCGTAGTCTAGTTTGACGCGGCGCGGCGGCACGTACGTGATGTTGCGAAGCTGTCCGGTAGCGCTATAGCGTGCAGCTGGATCAGCGAGCATACGCAATGTGCTGGCTGGGCGTTGGGACAACTTCCTAAGATAGTTAGGCCTGTAGACAAACTTGTTAATTCATATCGGAAATAACCACTTGAAACCTCTGTCCGGAAGTTTAAACCGTGTTGAGTGATAGCTGGGTTCACGGTAATTCGACTTTAGCAATAAAGTACATCACAGGTCAAGGAGGGAAAAAGAGTTCTCCAGTTAAAATGGGAGAAGTCCAACACGACGCGGGAGATTCACCGTACGAGTCGATAGCAAAGATCGACACCAGCAAGAAAGAGGTTTGCATTAGCAGTTGCAGTTTCATAATTAGGATTATTATTAGCCTGGGTTGGATCGATTGGTCAGATCATGCCCTGCTGTCTGGCAACCCTTACTTTCACTCCTCTGCTTGTAAGTTGTATTTGTTTCTTAAGCTGTTGAATGTAATCATCCTCGTACAAGTTAAAACATTGGCCTTATGTTTGCAGCCTCGGAAGTGTTTTTTTTCTCACATCTGCCAAGGCCTTCCTCTTTGTAAAATGATGCATCCTGACTCCACTTTTCTCATCATATATCATCTCAATAAAAGTCAGTCATTACAGAAATGCTGGAAAGACACGAATTCTGGACTGAGAAACGTTTATCAATGTTGTTGGGAAATACTTAGAAATTCTCTTCACTCCCCATAGACTTTGTACACAACTGCTGAAGTGGAGTCAAGATGCAACTTTTTCCCCAAGTACCAAGTAATGTAAAGAAAAATGTGACATTCTTACCAAGCATGCCAAGGGGTGCCTTCAGTTTCGCAGGAGCACAGCGAATGGCGAACCCCATAATTCTGGGGTAAAAAAAGCAGATTTTCCACTATCGAAAAACATACATCATGTTTTATTTTTGAGTGTCATACATGTACATGTAAACAACTTTAGGGGTGCTTGTTAATTTTGGGAGATTTTTGTGAGGATCAGGAAAGGGGGTTCTGTTTAGTACTCAGAGAACTCTGAGTCACTACACGGAGTAGTACCGGTACGTGACAGTTCTCGTTCTTGAAGTACTGTACATTCCTACATGTAACAGTACATGCAACTTGAACCAATGTAAAAGGTAAGGCCAACTTGTTGATGTTTATGACAATCAAAATTTGTCATGGTTTGGCCTGAAAGTCTTTCTGCCATGAACACCTATACCGGTAATCCACATTCACTTGTGATTCAGTGTACAGTGATTGGGTGCAGAGAGATCACGCCATTTCACCATCATGACCATCCATACATATTACGCCAGATTCTGCATATGGCCCAGATGGAAATATTCACTTTTAGGACACCTCTGCAGTTGTTTCATTCTTTTTAAAGGGTTTACAGATTGCCACAGACATGTGCAATTGGAACTTCCAATTTGCGTGACAGAGTTATGGATTAACACCTGTGCGTGTACAGAACATTTGCATACTACATGCACATGCCACTGACGGTACTGAATACACAGGTGTAATTTTCCTACGAAGATGGGATCCTACATGTGTGATAGAAATCTATGGGAGCAGTATCAAAAACACCTTAGAAAGAATGTCAGTTACTGGACTATCACAGTTTTCAAGCATCTTAAACAATGACAACTTTACTTCTCTCTATAAAACTGCTCCCCCAGGGTATGTACTGAACCCACCTTCTTAGTCTAAAACCCTGTAAAATTTTACAGCAAAATTATAACCATGTTGATGTTTATAACACTTGGAAATTACATACATGTAGCATAGTCCAGTAAAAGCAATTCGTAAGAAAATTCAATCCCCCTGATTCACTGACAAAATGTGCATGTATAACTTTGATCCTTAATAGCATTCACAGGTCTGTTGTAAGGGCAGAATTGTTTACAGTCTGAGTTGGTGAGGTGTTTAGATACAGAGTTATAATGTTTGACTCCCTGTAGACTTTGTACACAACCAACACATTAGCATTTTAAAAAATATATCACATACCAGTACATGTACGTGTATACAAAGTATAACCCCACTGTTGTGTTGCCTGTGACTTAACAGACAGGCAAAGCACACCTAGGAAAATTGGGGGATTGGCTTGATCATTTCTTTTCCTCTCTTGGGATCTATGAAATCTAAATAACATTCCCTAAATATTTCCCCAATAGAGAATTACAACAAAAGATGGAGCATGCACACCTGTCTGATAATCTTGTCTCCACGATGTCAAGCAAACCCTAACAGTCCACAATCCTTCACCTGTTGGAAGAGGACAGTTACGACTGGTTCTTGCTTTGTGCAAAGCGAACACAACCATTTAACGTGACTTCAAATAAAATATTTCACAGTGAATTCACAAATGTTGACTGTGAATTTCACCGCAAATGTTCCATGGCATCGAGTTCGCCTCACTAAAACTGCATTTGTCTTAAGTACTAGCCTTTGAGGTGAAAGTACATCTACCTTATATAATTGCTTGTCTTTTCCAATGACTGGATTATGTTCAAGTAAGTGGAACCCTAATTAACGATAAATGTACATAGGGTCCCAGATACCCTGACTAGGATTATTGGCAGGTCAGAGAATGGTGGATAATCTGCCGTTATGTGCATACAATTTACCTCTTAATTATTGTTCAACGTTCCCCGAGGAACGGTTGGTTTCTTCTGGGCATGGGGCCTCGAGAACAACCATACAGGTAGATGTAGACATAAGAAGTTTCTTACACTCGTACATGTATGGCTCCTTGACATTGCAACTTTTAATCATCTTTTCAGGGTTTCAAGTTGACAAGTCAAAAACCTGCATTGCATTGCTGAAAATGATACGAAGTTTGGAAGTATACATGTACATGTATGTACATGAATTGGATAGTGTACTGTATTTTTTTCCCACTGGTGTCAATGTATGACTGCAATTATAGCATTGAATGTACATGTACTAGTATGCAAGAAATTGTGTCATGTATCATTAAAACTTCATCGGATCAAGATTTATAATTTTTTCTTAGCAATTAACAGAGAGAGCTACATGTACGTACATGTACATGTGTACTGGGACACCATGAGAACTGAATCATTTCACAAGGACTTGCACAGTGCGCAGGGTGTGTTCAATGTCCGTTGGTGACAATGAATTCCGCGGTAGCATCAGGTGCACAGTTTCCCATCAAGTGTAACAAATATAATGAAATTCTCCTGTGGGCTGTCAGTGGTGGTGGAAGTAGGATTTGGTAGCAAGCTGTTGTGTATGCTCAATACAGTATAGCTTTTCTAGGATAGTCCTAGGCTGTTGAAGGTCAAACTCACTGGGGTAACACAGCTGAACCCAGAGTGAGGAGAATCTAGCATTACATAACCTGATATTATGAACTATCTTGGGCTGATTATTTGTTTTTTCTCCCCTGACCGTTCGCTGTTCCAAGTACTAAACAGTGATACCAAAACTTCCAAAAGCCACTTTGATATCAACAAACAAATTGTGCATCATGAAACATGACGGCCACTGCCACTCGCATAATTTTGCACGGCATGTCATTTGTACATTTCCAACCTCAATCAAGTCAACATTCATGAAACAAGAATATTCATAATTGCTGTTGCAGAGTGACGTTCATGTAAAACAGACATGACTGAGTCACAGTCACATAGAAATTTATGGAAATTGCCAACACACTGAATTTCAGACAAGTATCCTATTTTTAACTAACCTTTTGCTTTCATTATTCCTTGAGCTTTTCTGTGCTCCCATTCAATTTGGTCAACAAATATATTATCCATTAGAAACAATTACAGCATTACAGAGAGACAGTTTGCCGGATTGAATCTTCTCCCTGCCTTTACATTAGGTGTTGACATTGTGGTGACTATGGGGACATCAACTGCAACTGTTTGTATGATTGTCCATAATTTCAGGGAATGATAGCAATGAATTTCAAAGCACAAGAAACCTATATTTCCCACTGAATGGAAAATTGTGTCATATGTACATGTACTTTGTCAGCTAGAACTTGTTGACTATCATTTTTCTGTAACAGTTTTGCTGGAGCCTCTAAAGAACTCCCCGATTACTAGATACACATACATGTACATGCAAATACCAGTAAATGCACAAACATGGAATTGAAAAATTGAAGAATTTTAATTCTTCAGTCTGTTTGCAAAATATCGGTATTTGTACTTGGAGTTTCCTCACGAGCGGAATTTCCCATTTCACAAGCAGTGTTAATTTCATTCCGTATGCTAGTGAAGCAGAAAATCATCGGTTCCAGTCACAGAGCAAAGAGCACAAGAGTGCTACAGTATGCATTACTCATGTTTCATGTACTGGTACTCTGTACAAGTGCATGTATGTAAAAATCATGTATTCTACAATGAGCACATGGCGTAAGTTGTGCATACCGGTATGTACCTGCATACATGTACTCAACACATGTACATGTATGTGTTACATTATGATAGCCCCTGCAGGTACTGTATGTACATTGTACCAGTTGATGTACTGCCATGCTCATTGTACATACTGTAGTAATGTACATGTATTGGGTACACATACATGTACAGTACACTGTTGTCACAATGTCCCTTCATTGTAAAGAGAGCTTGTTGTTAATATCAGTTGATGCACAAAAGCCTGAAAGCATCACCTGTCATGTATGCAAATTTAACATCTATTTGCCCACTGGGTCCTGGAATACAAATCTGAATGTATGACCTTGAGAAATCATTTACTTGTATGATCTTTCAAAGGTCTCAGGACGTGTGTAACACATCCATGTTACATTATAGTGTACTCCTATGGTTTGGGGGGAAATATTGGCTCTGACAATGTCTGGTTTTTAATTTCGTATTCCTGGTTCTCCAATTTCTCTTTGAGGAATACTGTAGTCAGATGTCAAGCACTTTGTAATATATTCACACCGTGTGGGGCATACATGTACATGTACAGTGTCCATGTAAAGGTACATGTACATGTATACATACAGTACATGTACATGTACATCATGCACATACAATGTACATGTACACTGTACTGCATGTACATGTACTGTTGTACAGTATACATGTACTGTACACATGTGTCAGAGTGATTCAAATTCATCATTACTTTTTGTCATATGTATGCATGTACATGTATGTACCGGTATATGTACATGTACATGTATACCACACTTGTACATGTATCATGGTTTGAATTTGTACTAAACTGTGGGACAATGTCAAATTCAATTTAATTATTTCATTTCATCACAATTAAAAAGACTATAAATGTGAATTTGATTTTCCTGATGTGCACATAAAACTACAGAAAACATCACCCTTACACTGTCCAAATAGATACATGGATGTACATGTACCAGGTATCAATGAACAATAAAAAGAAGTTACATGTACCATAGTTGAATTTAAAATACGATAAATAAAAAAAACCCATAATACAATTTGTGGAAATGGTAATAAAATCACAGTATCATGTCAATGTACTGTAGTTGGCATTGTAAAATCACAGTTGCACAGGTTAGGTAGCGCTGAGTTGCACAGAGGGGAGTGTACATTCATGTACACTGTATGTACAGTATTGGTGCTGAATAAGAGGATGAGTTGAATTTAGAATAATGGGCCTCAACTTCTGAGAGAATAAATGGAACATACTGTCCTTGGGTACATGTACAGTATATTGTAAACGGTGTAATGCGTGACCATATGCACCACTGTGTGACTGATTTTTAGTACTTTATTCACCATTCGTTCTCAATCCTCCAAAATCCACCAGCCTTTAAAATACTATTCATCCTCAATCCTCCAAAATCCTTCAATGTTCAAATCATCATTCATCCAGAATCCTCCAAAACCACCCAGAGGATTTTGGAGGATTGAGATGGGTTAGGATTGAGTTCTTGAAACCATTTTATGGTACTCAGCAGTCGATTGGTCTGAGGTGTATACACGTAAAGCGTGCATACTATTTGTCCGCGATTGTTGCCACCGTAGTAATGGCTTTTAGTTCTTTTGTCAAATTACACTCTGAACTGACGTTTCCCTTGAGAGGATGCTCAGCGTGTAGCCACCTCTTTTCAGGTATAAAAAGGCCATGGCTCACATGAGCTACATGTATGTGTATTACGATAGACTGATAGTACACATAAACTGGGGCTGGAAACCGTCTGCAGTGTGTAAAAAGTGCTATGTCCAAGTGCCCCCCAACAAGAGTACAGTACAATGTTACCTGCCACTATGAATTCCCCTCTCAGTTAAAAATAAGGCACAAGTTTGCAGTGTGGACATGTAATTCAGACATGTTCTACTCTAGTTTCTTTTTCTTTTTTACTTTTTTTCATGTGATACAATGCAACTCTGTAGTCTGTACCTTTCATGTTCATGTACTCTGTACGTCATCGCTAAATTTTTAACTCTGGGTTTTGCCCTTACGCCACCATACACATGTATAAAAAATTCACAAGTTTATTCGGGTGTAACTCAAATCGAATACCTCCTGCTTACTAGTGAAGACATCTAACCACTTGACAACCAAGCTTGCCGAGGTTGGCAGACCAGTCTGAGTCAGATACAAATGTACATGTGTAGCAGAGGGTACCATAAACTTGTATTTTGTGTCTGGAGATGGCAAGTTTTAATAACATTTTTTGCCTTCACACTGACACACTGGTATATATACATGTAACCCTGTACGGTATATTCAGTGTTTGTCCAAGAGCTTGCGGAAAACATGTACAAGGTTGCTCACTTGAACTCAAACCCACTATCTCTTGCTTACTAGACATCTAACCACTCGACCACTGAGCTTGCCGCGGTCTGCTGGCCGGTCAAGCAAGTCAGCTGTGTAGCCGCGGGCACTGCAAACTATTACAAGATGTACTTTGCGTCGGGGAGATGCACTAAAATTGAAAGAGGAACTTTTGTTAAACATGCATTACATGTCGGCATTAGCATCCGGAAATGAATACTGGTACCCTGAAATTGGAAGTCTTTGGAGGAAGTTTAGTCATGTTAGAACTGTCAATTCTTTACTCACGATTCAAACATGAAGCCATTTGATACAAGCATTCGTATACATGTACGACGTACATACACGTAAATAAAAGCAAGAATGACCAAATGAATTGAAATTGATTTGAATGTGCAGTGTACATGTATATGTACATGTATTCATGTACATGCATGGGCACTGAGCAGACCATTCCTACAATCAGTTGTACATACATGTACACGTACCATCTGTAAGCAAAAGTTCACAAACAATGCACATTTTGGGATCAAGTTTTGCGTTTCAAGTTTCATCTTTTTTTGGTTGTCTGTGTACAATGTATACAACAATATTGCATGTATGAACATGAATTTGTGTTGAAAAAATTCTCCTCGCAGGAGTTCCCCCGAACCAATGTCACCCCCGCATTCAGCTTACTGGTACACACGTTTACCTTGTGTACAGTATGTGGGTGTGATTTGACAACCTTAGTTCACCAGGGTCAGTCTGTGCGGTAGAGGTGGGCTCCATCCACATGCCACTAACTGTTTGGCAGCTTTTGACAGCATACAACGTACATGTACCGGAACATGTACTGCACATGTACGGTACATGGCATATTTGATTTGTTTCTTTGTATATAACCATACAGCAGCCTCAGCGTGTCACACAAGGCCAGAAAAATTGTTCATTTGTTGGAAGAGGGAATGGTGTTTCGTGTTAAATGTTATCATCTGCCATTGTGTGCTCAGTGTGCTCATAGCATACATACACATCTGTGTCTACCAAGGATAAATATTCTACATATATTGGCATCATCTGTTCTATTGTGTATGTGTTGGGATGAATAATTCATCACACATGATCCTCAATCCACCAATCAGATGATGGGGATTTATTCAGGTGTTAAGGGTGAAGAATAAATGACAGATGCTTTCTTTTGATTTCCATCATGCAGGTGGTCCTTGGACATGAAATAGGGTCGGGGTCAAAGTGCCTGAAGTGTGGCGATGCCTGCACTGGCCTTGAACTTCATTTTTGGAGGTGAGATTACTATTTTTTCAGCTTAATATGGGGCACATGGAATATTGAATTGGACTCATGGAGACCTTAGAATAGTCAGATGCTAATTGAGACCAGAGATTGTATAGCGTCGCATAGCAGAGCAAGATGGAGAACTTCACCGTGAATACACATAAAATGTTGTTGTCGCACAGATGCCATTGGGTGTGAATACGCTATGTTAATCCAACAGGTGCAAGCACCGCCACAGGCACGCACACCTGGTATGCCTGCGCCTTTGCATTAACTTTTACACTCAAATGGCGCCCTGATGATAACACCTTCTTGGCCGAGTTCTCCATCTTGCGCCACTACGCATTAAGATCAACACCTGTGATACCAGTACTGATACCCATACCGTGACATTGCTAAACTTTTACACACAATTGAAAGGAACTTGACATCTTGGCATAAGTTGCACTTTCAGAAGTTCAGTATAAGACCCAGTTTCACAGACAGGGTGCTACACACATTATGATAAGATGATCTGGGAAACCTGCATTCAATTTACCTTCTGTCATATGATTAATGCATAATTCTAGGGATTTCCTTGAAGTTTTGAACAGTCAGAAGTTCACTACATGTATAGAGGGATTTCACATTAGCGCCGTCTGCGCATATCTGCATCGAAACCAAGGCTGTCTGTGTTGAACTGCGTCGCGTGCGCCCGCGAAGTCGACAAAGTAATTGTGACTCCACTTCAGTTTTAACCACGCCCACTGCACAAGATACACGGCCATCGCAGGTACGTCAGTTCGCGGTCAGATGTCATTATTTTTCTTTTGATTTTACGTGTCGAGTCATCGTGAATGACTCTTCCATAAAAATTTTCAGCCTGAAAAGTCTGAATTAAACATACCTTTATGTATTTGTGTCTTGACTCCTTACTTTCAATCGTCTGATCGTATTAAGAATTGAAGCTGACACGTACAGCCTCGTTTTCAAACGCAGAAGTGCGCAGATCGACGCTAAAAGCATCATATTGGGATCCCTCTATAAGGCCCAATTTCTTGGACTATGCTGGATGCAGAATTGTAAGGACCTTCCAGATATCCACTGTGTTAGTATGTATCAGGCTCACTGTCATGGCTGTATTGGAATCCTGGAATCGTCCGAAGTTTATCATATGGCTCACCATCACGGCTATAGTTAATGTGGAATTTTGTAACTATCTAGTGCAAAAATTAGACCTACAACCAGTAATGATACATGTACCAGTAGATTTGTGACATTACAGGAAAGCCACCTGCAAACAGGCAATTTGCAATACTTGTGAAGTATTTTGCCATGGAGCAAAAAATTGTCAGAGACATTCATTCAAGATCCCAGTGAATACACTTGATGTACTCTGGTACATTTGACTTGAACTTCAAACTGAAAGAGCAGATGAGTTCTGGTACGCATCCATCTTAAAAAGTCTCTCATAGTGTAGGGGAGCGAGTGCCATTTATGCCGCATCTTCCCAATTCACAGGAGAATCTGTAAGATCTGCAAGTGTTCCCCTGAGGACCATGCTGTCCAGATAAAGGAGCACGAGACGGTGCGCAAGGTAGGCCGGCTCTTTGACTCCACCAATTACAAGAAGTACACGGTGGACAAGATGACCATTGAGCACACCGAGATGATGGCCAAGCCCGAGGCCCCCGTGATTGGCAACGCCGAGCCTTCCAAGAACATCACCTTTGAGTGGATACCACAGGGAGCCACTGAGAAAATGGTGAGCTACATGTACTAATCCAAGTCTGTCCCTTTTGCCCCCGGTTGTGAACACGAAGTAGGATCCAAATGTGCATGAACAAATATGATTGCCAGAGGGAGCATTTCAGATGCCACTTCCTATGGATCACAGTCGCCAATGTTATTGAGGATCTGAATGTTGCATGCATTTGACTGATAAAAATATGTTGCTTGTCATCTTAAGGAGTAGTAACTTGTTTTTGAATTAAGGCAAACATGCCATGTCCTGTAAAAATGAGCTAACAGGTATGTGTGAATGAATATTGTTTTTCGAAATTAAGTTTTGTTCGGTACATGTATATAAATATCCAGTACGCGTCTGTGCACACGTACATGTGTATGGAGTGACTGGATTGTGTCTTGTAAAAATAGTGCACTAGTTTTGTGTATTTTTGTTGTTACAAATAAGCATTGTGTCACCGTGATCAAGTCTGAATTTGATTCTGGTTGGGTTTTTATATGTGATACAAACATGACAAGTAATTCTTTAAGACAAATTATTTGAAAATCATTTGGCGGCAAAAGGTACAGGTGCGCACATACACTCCTAAAAGGACTGCCTAGAGTGTATAAACTCTCGTGAGAAAAATGCGCCATACTCTCAGCCATTAAGGAATCACCCCCACTGAGAGTGCAATTAGATTCACCCCTGAGGAAACCCAGAATCCATGCCAACCTCAAGGGAGGTAGAGTTGAACCAATCCAATTTTCACATGAGAAATATTCCCCTCCCCCCCAAAAAAGATTGTAATACACTTTATTGGTCAGCAGGGAATTGCCAAAGTATTTGTTCCCCAGGGATGGTAGATTGCCAGAGTTTGCTTAGGTGCATTTCAGCAGCAATTGTGACCTGAAGATTGAGCATCATTGCAGCAGGATGCATTCACAGTGTACACTACATGTAGATTATCCTCTAACGATGCAGTACATGTTTGCTATTTAGCCAAAGAGCCTGTGGGCAACTGAACTCGCCCTCCGACACAGACTTCAACTGACAATAGGTCATGTACAATTTGGATAGGGATGGCCTAGTTCCTTTTGTAATGTGCAGGTGTATGTGGGCATTTCCCTTCAAATCCCAGATTGCCAAGTGAGAACAGAAATGCCCCTGCCAAACACCGACGTCACTTTGTTGCAAGGCTACGAAAGTCTCATCGAACATGCATCATAGGCTTGCTTGTCTGAGTGCACCAGATCAGACATTTGGCGTCACTAAACATTGGTAGTGTTTGCCAGCATGCTCTCAGTTTGAATATTTGCCTTGATGTGATGTGAGAACTTTGACTTCGTGCATTTACACTTAACCAGACCTGTCCTTTCCTGCTTCTCATGTAAGGTCACCTTAAAAACAAAGCTTTATTCAAGTCCAAGGACTCCATCAGTATTTTTTTCTTCTTGGAAGAAAATAACTCCTCTCCAGTGCATAGCCAGGTCTTGGGTCCCGTGGCAAAATATACCGTAGGATTTTTTTCTCTGAAAAAGTAATCTCATATTTATCCATAAAAGAATCCTCCTGTCCCCCAGGCGGTAGTATTGTTTTTCACATGCCGGTGCATGCAATTCCTTGGAGAAAACTATGGGCAACATGTCTCGGGGGAGGGGGGAGGAGGGGAGGGGTATTGAAAGTTGGAAGACAATTTGTTTCCCTCCACCACCACCGCCCCCCTAATGAGTTTGTTTTGCGCTGTCAACTTGTACAGAACATGGGTACGTATGTACATGTATTATGAACAGCATGGAGGTCAAGGTCTTGTACAAATCTTGTCCTCAATCCTCCAATTTAATATATCTGTACGTGGAATTTTACATACACTCAAGGGGTTTACATTTGTGCGTACACACATGTATATGTGCCATACACAAACTCGCTTGTAGTGCAGTGAATTAATTGCAGCTGTACGTGTACAGGTTGCGTACAAGTGACTACCCAGACTGCCACCAATTCAGCCTGACTGAGCACAACTGGCAGAAATGAGATTAGTCGTGTACAAAAGCTGGCGCGATCTGATCACTCTGCCGCTAGCAATCGGTGTAACGCAGCGTGCAGTTTTCCAATCAGCGGGGCCGAAATTTCACGCCTAGAGGAAAATTATTTCTAGTTGCGCTTTTTTTTTTTTTCAAGAAAGCCATACTCGTGAGCCACAGGCATCCAGCTTGACTCCAGTGATCGCTGTGTGGTGCTTCTTTGGAGCAGTCCTTGGATTGTTCACACAAGCCTCATGCTTGCATGCCGCACATATGTATTTGTCAATTTGATATGAACTGGTACATGTACCTGTATGAGTGATTTCATTGCATTATACTCGACAGTGTCTTGCTCAAACCATGCACATTATGTTTAAATGCATGCAAAGAGAGAACATACGTGTACATCATGTCAACAAACCAAATGAGCCTTTTGTTGACCCTGCCCAATTTATGGGTACATGTATTTCCACACATGCAATGCACACATTATCAATTTTGTCTTGGATGTGGATGCGTCATTTGGTTCAAACGTTATAGAATACAAAACACTGAAATAATTTTTTTAGTTTAAACCATGCCTACTGCACATGCACTGCAGATAGAGTCAATTTTCACCGCGGTCACCGCGGCCACGGCAATCGGTGCCCTTTCATTTGGCTGGGGTGCCTTGAAAATGGTACTCTGTCCGCGGCCAAAAGTGGCTGTGTGCCCCTTTCATCTCGGCCATGGTGCCCCTGAAACTGTACCTTTTATTTCCCATAAGTTTCCAATCTTAAATCCATGCAAAGAATTAGTTTGGTGGTGCGGCCGAACGACGGACAATCGTCTTCATGCTACATGCTTCACGAAATTCACTTCACGCAAAGTCGCGTCCATTCCATAACGGTCATGCTGTACAGGGCTACGTCTGCATATTGCAATGTACATAATCCAGCCATAGCCGATAAATTCCCAGAAAGCGAAACACAAGAGGGCGCCATGTCATGCAGAGCCAGAGGTGTGCACACGACTCATAAGTAAAGCATGTGAGACAGATAGTATTTATCCAAAGAGGAGGAAATTTTATTTCTTTTGCATTTTAAAACTTGTTTACAGCTTTGCTTTTTTATTCTTTGGTCAGAGGAGATGAGGTGATTCCCCCTCTCCAGATCTGTTCTTGTTACTTCACAGGAGTTTTAAGGCGATTCTTTATTTGAAGGCCCCAACACGGTGTTTGGCCTTGGTGCCTTTCCTTTGTCCAAAAAATGGCCTCGTTGCCCATGCTTGTGGCCACGGTGCCCCTTAAAATGTCCACTTACCTGAGGCCAAAATGGCAGTGCCCTAAAATCATTGAAATTCGAGGCCTGGATCACCGTCTACATGGAACCACGGAACCGGAAGTTAACGCGCAACTTCAGCTATCGTCCAATGGCCCTTGGAGTCTGCAAATCATGAGGCATCCAGCTTTGTGACTAAGTCACCTACGAACCGGGCAGTGTAAATTATGCATAAATTTGTGCAGGTTCATATGTAAGTTAGTGAATGTGCATATTTAAATGGTCATACATATGTACATGTATTACTGATGTTCTTTGCATCCATTTGATTATTGTACACCTGTACTGGTATATTTGGATTGTGAATTTTACACATGCACCATACCAATACCTGCATCGTATGTGCACTATAAGCAGCATACATGTATGTGCACGCACTGTACATCATGCACATGTACGTACCTGTATCGTGTAGCAATGAACACACTCGCATAAGTACCATACAGTATGTGTGGAGTTCACATGAATAATGTACCATACATGTACTTGTACATACGGTACAGATATGAAGAGGGTGTACACGGGTTTGAATGTGACGCACAGTATGTTACACTCGTGAAGACAACAGCAGCATGTAAATACCTACATGTACATGTATAATATACATGTACACACAGTCTGTTCTATTGTGGAAACAAAGGCACCTGTATACATGTAATCGTCAACTGAGATTATTCACATGCATTGTTGTGTACCTGGTGTACATAATGTACATTACTTGTACATACTGTACCGGCACATGTGCAAATGTATGTTATAGATACACACACACCAAGGTCAACTTGCTTGTAAAAGCTGAATGTTATACATGCAATTCTAGTAGAACTGTACATAAACCTAAATGTACATGTCATATGAGCATAAGTGGAACACAGAATAATGTAGTGTTTCTGTGTCCCGCATACCACGAGGGACAGGGCACAGACTCACTCCATTATTCTGTACATGTTCCGCAAGCGTGATAACAAATTCATATTCAAGCAAACTTAACACGCAGTAAAAATGTTATAGTGGCCTACCTGTATGCACCACCTTTGATTTTACCGTAAATTTCGTAGTTGTGCGGTTTGCTTTCAGCGTAGAAATAGTGCAGTGTATTGAGTTAGAACCTTCTTTGCAGTATTCCGAACTACCTTCTGAAAAGAGAGCGTGATATTTCATCACAGGGAAAGCTGGTTTGCATTCTCTTGCACGAGCATCATCTGTGGTACATGCACCCGTACAGCGCATTGACATGAAGGAAAACATGGCATACAAACGCAATCCTTACAATTTCATGTACATGCCACACCCTTCAGACTGGTTCAGCCTGTGTATAAGTTGTTGGGCTGAAGTTCGTTTGTTTTTGTTGTGGTGTGCACGGTGTACTCGCAGTTACCACCCAAAAACTACAGAATTCAGAAAAGGCACATATTTTCCAGGTCTGAAACTTTCTCAGACGCACCTCTCATGGAGCTCACCTACCATACATGTACAATGTATGTAAACCTGGTTTCCAAACAAATCTGTCGCCTGACAAAGTTTGGTCAGCTGATACCTACCGTACATGTACATGTACCTACCAATCAACAGCCTTTAGTGAATTTCTGCTCAGAATGACTCTTACTGGTGAGCACACACATTGCCATTTGCATTATTTGAGATTTTGAAATTAACATACATCATTCCATGTCTATCAAACTGCACAATTGTACAA